TAACAAATCCGTAAAAAATCTCTCAGAACTGATAAATGACTTCGGCAAGGTGACAGAACACAAGAGCCATATTAAAAATCAGTTGTGCTTCTACACACTAGCAATGAACAATCCAGAAATGAGATTAATGAAACAATTCCATTTACAATAGCATCGGAAAGAATAAAATACTTGGAAATACATTTAACAAAAGAAGTGCACGATTTGTGCACTGAAAACTACAAAATGTCTTTGGAAGAAATTAAAATAAATGGATCCCATGGGATCCCTGATCCCACGTTCATGGATCAGAAGACATAATATTGTTAATAGAAAAATATTCCCAAATTGATCTGCAGAGTCAACACAATTCCTAAAAATCCAAGCGCCCCCCCATCCCACCTTTTTTCAGAAATAGATTAATCCTAAAATTCATACGGAACTCCAAATAGTCAAAATAACCTTGAAAAAGAAGAACAAACCTGGAGGACTCACATTTTCTGATTTTAAAACATACTGCTAAGCTACAGTAATCAAAACAGTATGGCATTGGCATGAAAACAGGCATATAGATCAATGGAATAGAACAGAGAGCCTGGAAAGAAACCCATACATTTAAGGCCAGTTGATTTTCAGCAAGGGTACCAAGACCATTCAATGGGGAAAGAATAGTTTTTGCAACAGATGGTACTAGAATAACTGGATTTCCACATGCAAAAGAACACGACTGGACCCCTGCCTCACATTATGTACAAACGTTAACTCAAAATAGATCAAAAGCCTAAATGTAACAGCTAAACTATAAAACTCTTACAAGAGAAATTAACAGGAGTAAATCCTTATGACCTTGGGTTAGGCAGTTGTTTCTTAGATATGGTATCAAAAGCCAAGTAACCAAAGAAAAAAAATAGATTGGACTTCCTCAAAATTAAAACCTTTTCTGCATCAAAGGACACCATAAAAAGAGTGAAAAGACAACCCACGGGATGGGAGACAGTATTTGCAAATCACATACCGGATAAGGGACTTGTATGCAGATTTTATAAAGAACACTTACAACTCAACAACACAAAGACAAATAACCCAATTGAAATGTGGACAGAAGAACTGAATAGACATTTCTCCTAAGAGGGTACGCAAATGGCCAATAAACACGTGAAATGATGCTCGACATCATTAGCCATCAGGGAAATGCACCTCACACCCCCTAGGATGGCTAGAACAAAACAAGCAAACAGAAAGTAACAAGTGCCGTGAGGATGCGGAGAGTCAGAGCCCTCGCACGCTGCTGGCGGCAACGGAAGATGTTGCAGCCACTTCGCAAATGTCTGAGGTTGCCGTGAGCTGTGATGACGCCACTACGCTCTGGCCCTGGCAACGACAACAACAAAAGAAGCAAAAACAACACAAATGTCCATCAACAAATGAATGGATGAACAAAATGTAGTTTATCCGTAATGGAATATTACTCAGCTTTAAAAAAGAAGGAAGTTCTGATACATGCCCATGTGGCAAGTACACCACACACACGCACACGCACCTGCATGCCATGTACATACACACACAGACGCCACACAGCACCCACATGCATGTGCACACACCAACCACACGCACGTGCACTACATGCACACAGATGCCACACACATGCATGCACATGCACACATACTACACCCCTCACCCCACGCACATCCCCGACACACTCCACGAGCCACACCACCCTGGGTCCTAACTCCTCGTGTGCACAGACGTGGCTGTCCCCGAGGGGAGCCACACCGTGTCATTACCCCAACCAGCAGCTCTGTGAGGTCAGCCAAACTGCAATTATTCTTCCGTTTTATGGATGGGGACGCCGATGTTCCAGGAGGTGGGCTGACTCTCATTCAAGGTCACAGCGAAGCCACCACTCAGCTTCCCTTGGCTCCAGCTTCTTCCCCTGCGAGGACCCCTGACTTGTCCCTTGCAGACTTCTCTTGGCCTCCCGCCCTCCTTCCTTCCTTCCTTCACATCCCAGCTGCTGGGTCTGAACAGGCCACCCCTTCCTTCCTCGGGTGTCACCAAGCTGGGTCGGTGGGGGGCTGTGAAGCCTGGCGAGGGCGTCTGGGGGTGTGCCACATTATGCGAGGTGTGAGAACAGAGGCCTAAGGGAACTGGGGGGGAGTCACACAGACAGCAGGGGAAAGGGTGTTCCTGGCAGAGGGAGCTGCAAGTGCAAAGGCCTCAGAGCTTGGACATGATCCATGTTTGAGAAGCAGCCAGGAGACGGGTGGGCAGCAGTGGGCTGGAGAGGGGGACAGGGAGTGTCTTGGTCTGTGCAGGCTGCTTTAACACAATACCATGGCCTGGGTGGCTCATAAACAGCAGAGGTTTATCGCTCACAGTTCCGGAGGCTGGAGGTCCAAGATGACAGCGTGGCAGAGTCTGTGTCTGGTGAGGCCTCGCATTCTGGTTCACAGATGGTGCCTTCTCACTGGGTCCTCACATGGCAGAAGGGGTGAGGGTCTCTCTGGAGTCCCTTTTATAAGGACACTAATCCCATCCATGAGGCTCCACCCTCACGATCTCATCACCTCCCAGAGGCCCCGCCTCCCAAGATCATCACGTTGGGGCTGAGGCCCGGCACCCCCAGGACCGCAGAGTCCTGGGCAGGACTTTCTCAACATGAGCTGCCCTGCCTCTGCCCAAGCAGCCTTCCCCAGCGCCGTGGTCTTCCCAGGCTTATTGTATAATAGCATCAAAAAGGAAAAAGTACTGAGGAATACATTAACCAAGGAGGTACGAGACTCATACCCTGAAAACCACAAAACATTGTTGAAAGACATTGAAGAAGGCCTAAATAAATGGAAAGACATCCTATGTTCCTACATTAGAAGACTTAATATTAAGGCGGCAATACTTTCTAAAGCAACCTACAGAAGGAATGCAATCCCGATCAAAATCCCAATAGCCTTTCTTTTTGGCAAAAATGGAAAAGCTGATCCTAAAATTTATATAAAGTTGTAAGGGACCCCAAATAGCAAAAACAATCTTGAAAGGAAAAAACGAAGTTGGAAGACCCAGTCTTCTCAAAACATACTACAAAATTGCAACACTCAAAATAGTGTGGTGTTGGCAAAAGGGTAGACATATAGACCAATGGAATGAAATTGAGAGTCCAGAAATGAACACACACATCTATGGCCAACTGATTTTCAACAAGGGTGCCGAGACCATTCAATGGGAAAAAGCATAGTCTTTTCAACAGATGGTACTGGAATAAGTGGATTTCCACATGCAAAAGAATGTGGTTTGATCCCTACCCCACACCATATACAAAGATGAACTCGAAACAGATCAAACACCTAAATGTAAGAGATGAACTATCAAACGCTTAGAAGAAAACATAGATGCAAATCTTTGCGACCTTAGATAGGGTGGTGTTTACTTCGATATGACATCTAAAAAGATTGGACTGCACCAAAATTTAAAATTTTTGTGTATCAAAGGACACTCTCACAAAAGTGAAAAGAGAACCTACACAATGGGAGAAAATATTTGCAAACCACGTGTGCGATAAGGATCTAGTATCCAGAATATCTAAGGAACCCTCACAACTCAACAACAACAAAAGACAAGTAATCCAACTTTTAAAAATGGGCGAAGGACTCGGGGACATTTCAAAGAAGATATACAAACGGCCAAAAAGCCCATGAAAAGATGTTTGCCATCATTAGCCATCAAGGAAATGCAATTTAAAACCACAAGGAGGTACCACGTCACACACCATGGGATGGCTAAAATTTAAAACAAAACAAAACAAAACAGAAAATGGTACGTGTCCGCAAAGATGTGGAGAAGTTGGAACCCTCGTGCACTGCTGTTGGGAAGGTAAAATGGTGCAGCCGCGGTGGGCGGCCGCGTGACCGCTCCTCAAAAAGCTGAGCACAGAGTTACCCTGCGGGCGACCCAGCAATTCCACTCCTAGTTATACACCCCGAAGACTTGAAACCAGGTAAACAGACGTCTAAACAAATGCTCGTCCAAGAACATTCATAGCAGCATCAGGCACAGTAGCCGGAAGGTGGGAAAACGTGCGTGTCCGTTGCCTGAAGCATGAATAAGCACGGGGGGTCCGTCCCCGCAGCGGAACGTTATTCAGCCATCGGAGGTGCTGGGACGCACGACAGCGTTGACGGCGTGGCCAGTGAGAGAAGCCGGACACCGAAGGACACACCGTGAGTGGCTCCATTCCCGCCGAATGTGCACCGGAGGCGAACCCGCAGGCACAGACAGCAGAGCGGCGCTGCCCGGGGCTGGGGTGGAGGAGGTGACTGCTTCGCGGGTAAGGCTTTTCTCAGGGGGTGAGAATATTTTGGAACCAGACAGTGGCGATGGTTGCGCCATTCTGTGAATGCACGGAATGCTGCGGGATCGTGTGCTTTCAAACGGCTACTTGTATGTTGTGTGAATTTCACCTTAATTTTTCTTTAACGAAGGCGCTAAGATTGCCATTTTATGCATGCACTCTCTGTCTCTGTCTCTGTGTCTCTCTATCTCTGCCTCTGTGTCTCTCTCAGTATCTCTGTCTCTCTTAGTCGCTCTGTCTCTCTGTCTCTTTCTGTCTCTGAGTCTCTCTTTGTACCTCTCTTCTTTTTCTCTGTCTCTCCATCTCTGTCTCTGTGTCCCTGCCTCTCCCTGAGGGGCCCCCAAACCTCTCCGTTCTTGTGGTATTTTTCAGGTTTTGCATTTTCTCTGCAAGACCCTCCTGAAGCCCCGGCTCCAGCAAGAAGCCGTCCCGACCAGCCCCGGTCTGAGCATCCTAGGACTGTCGTCCACTTTCCTTTCGGGGGAGGGGAAGGAGGCAGGATCCCCAGATGATCCCACGGGGCCAAGTCACCCCAAGCTCCAGACATCCCCCAGCTCGGGCGGGCTGGGGAAGGCCACTCGGCGACGCCCCCCTGCTTGGGGTGCCGCCTGCAGCTGCCCAGCAGACGGGCACACTGGGCAGAGCCAGAGGGAGACTCGTTTCCCCCACCCTCCCGTACCTTTGTCCAGCACGGGCCCGAAGATGGCCAGGCTGTCGTTGACGGTGGTGCAGTTCCAGCGGCGGCCGCGGAACTGGTGCTGGCACTCCTGGATGCCCATCTTGATGCCCTCGGCCACGCTGGGCATGATCTCCACGTAGTTCCGGCAGAAGCGCAGCTGCTTGGGTACCAGGCCCGGGATGCTGGCGCACAGGATGGGCTGCGTGCCCAGGGAGGAGTACTGGGGCCCGACGGCCAGGGACCTGCAGGGGAGGATGAGATGGTGACCGCCAGCCCTGGACGACGGACACCGGCGACGTCCCCACCCTGCCCGGGGTGAGTGGACAGACCCGTCGCTGTGGGGGCTCGAGTGCATTCGGAGGGGCAAGATGCGCTTGCACCGGAAGGAAATCCGATTTTAAGGGGAGGCCGGACTCTGCTCTCCCTTGCACCCGACGCTCAGCTCAAAACACAAAGTGTCAGGATTCGCAGCATGGAGTGGGGCAGCCCCAGGCCCCCCACTCCGCACGCTGCAGGGGACCTGCTCCCGGCGCTGGGCCTGACGCCGCTGTGAGCACCCGGGCCGCGGGGCTGGCTCAGGCGAGGGGGTCGACCAGAGGATGGACGCGCCGGATCTGGGGTCCCTGGCGTGGTGGGTACAGCCCCGGGGCCAAAATCACGGCCGGACTCTTACCCGCCACGAGAGCCCAAGAGCGTGCTTTTGGCTGTTTACCCCAGAGACAGCAACACACACGTCCACTGTAAGACGTGTTCCGGAATCTTCCCCGGGCTTCAGGCGTGAGAGCGAGAACTTGGAAACTACCCCAGTGTCCGTCAACAGGAGCGTGGGTTTGCCTCTGCCCTGCCACACTGCGCGGAGGTTAAAAAAGAAACGGGTCACAGCCGCGGGGCCAGGCGCACGGGACACAGCCGCGGGGCGCCGAGACGGGCCCTCCGCCCGCCTCCAGGAGAGACCCATCCCCGGGGAGAAGAATCGGGACAGCGGCCACCCCGCGTCCTCGTTTTCGCAGGCGGCGCGAGGGAACAGCTCCCAGACTGCGCTCTGCCTTTGCGACAGGCGTCGGCCACCTGCCTGTGCCTGCGAAATTAACGCAATCAAGTTTTAAAGTAATCGCAACCCACAAACCGGAAAAGTCAGTCTCTTGGCGGCACCAGCCACGCTTCGCACTTCAGGTGTGAACCCCGGCTACCCCGCACGGGACGGTTAGACAGGAAATGTTCCCGTCATCGGGGAAGCTCTGCAGGGCCACCCTGCTCTAGTGGGCCGGAGCGTTTTCGTGTTTAATTGGGCTGTTGGCCACACAGGCGTTTCACATCAAAATGAACTGAGCCACACGCTTAAGTTCTTCCAATTTTCTGTACAAAATTACACATCAATGCATTATTTAGAGACAGGGTCTCACTCTGTCACCTAGGCTAGAGTGCAGTGGTGTCATCACAGCTCACTGCAGCCTCGAGCTCCAGGGCTCAAGCGATCCTCCTGCCTCAGCCTCGGGAGTAGCTGGGACTATAGGCATGTGTCACCATGCCCAGCTGATTTTTTAATATATTTTTTGTATAGATGGGGTCTAGATCCCTTGCCCAGGCTGGTCCCCAACTCCTGGCCTCAAGCATTCCTCCCACCTCAGCCTCCCGAGTGGCTGGGACTACAGGTGCCTGCCACTGTGCCCTGCTGAGGCGTCTGTGTTTAAGCCAGGACAAGTTGGTCACCCCAGGTGTGCGTCGTGGGTCCACTTGGATTTGCTGTCCGAGTGCTGCATAATTTCTGTGTGTTCGAAAATTTTCCGGATGGAATGTCGTGGGGACAAAGATCTGAACGTCGTGGCTGAGGTCTGGGAGTGCATCTGAGAAGGGCTGATCTGAGGTCACGGCTGGGGAGGGGCAGGGGGTGTCTGTCCGTAGGAAGGAAAATCTCCACTTGCTGAATGTGTTTGTTGACTTGAGACTCAGAATGAGTGGAAAACAAAGGAATCCGTTTAGACAGAAAAAGAGGAGTCTCTGTCTGCAAATAGGAACTGCCTCAGGGGACAGTTCCAAGGGATTCATTCTGGGGGCTGTCTATGGTGGGGGGACAGGCAGAGGGCTCTCTGCCCACCCCCAGAACCCTACAACCTCTTCAGAGAGCTCAGAGCCGGGGGGACACCTCGGTTCCCTCCCTGCCTGTGGGGCACAGCGGGGTGGCCTTGTCCATGGCCTCCAGGGAAAGTGGAGAGGGGGTCTCAGGAGTGTGCGTCCTTCCCCAGCCTCCTTCCTGTGGCGATGCTGAGTCAGCGGGCTCTGTCCCCCGGCCCCGCCTTCCTCTGGGCAGGCCCCGGCTTGCTGCCCCGAGAGCATGGCCAGGGTGCAGGCGGCCGGCCTGGGTGCAGCTCCCCTTCTCCCGCAGCTCTGACTGGGCCCTCCTAGAACCGGGATGGGGGGTGGGCTTCTCCTGCATCCTCCAGACCCCAGCGCCTCTCGAGTTCCTTGAATTGCTTCCTGAAACGTTTCTCCGTCTGACAGAGAGCCTGGCCACCTAGAAGGCCCGGCCGTGCACCACGCAGGCCCTGCCCAGGGAGGGCAGGAAGCTGGGGTGGGCTGTTGGAGAGGGAGGGGGGCCTTGAAGAATCAATTGGGTTATTTAAAAAAATTCATATAAAAAGTCCAGGCTGGGTACGGTGGCTCACTCCTGTAAGCCCAGCATTTTGGGAGGCTGAGGCAGGAGTGTCGCTTAAGGCCAGGAGTCTGAGACCAGCCTGGGCAACACAGCAAGACCCTGTCTCTACAAAAAATTACAAAAAAATTAGCTGGGCATGGTGGCATGTGGTTGTAGTCCCACCTACTCGGGAAGCTGAGGCAGGAGGATCACTGGAGCCCAGGAGTTTGAGGCTGCAGTGAGCTGTGACGACATCACTGCACTGCAGCCTGGGTGACGGAATGAGACCCTGTCTCAAAAAAAAAAAAAAAAAAAGTCCAAACCGGGCATGCACTATCCTCCCCACATTGCGTCCCCAGAAAGCCTCCAAGATCCAAATTTCTCATCCAAGGAGAACTTAGATGCCCCAGAATGTATGAATGCTTGGAAGCCGTGATCCATAGCCTCTTCCGCCCACAGCCTTCTGGGGCAGCCTCCCCTGGGACAAGGGAAGAACAGAGAAATTGTTACAGGGGACAGAGCAGAGAGGAAAGCAGTGGTTACGAGGAACCGGGAGTCGCGACACACAGTTGCGCCGAGCTTCCAGCGTATGTGTGTGTGTGCGTTCCATGCTCTCTCCACGCCGCAGAGTTTTTGGTATCTTGAGAGCAGACACCGCATTCTGTCATCTCCACACCAGCCGTTACCGAGATGAGAGTATCTGTTTCTCCCAGTGACAACGCCCTGGAAATTGCGGCTGCTGCAGCCGTCCCCTCCACTCCTGGTCCAGGGCAAAGCCCAGCTGCTGGTGGGGGCTGGTGGACACAGGTGACGTTCCCGTCGCATTTCACGTGGGAGCTGTGATGGGAGGCGGCTCAGGAGCACCGTGCGACGCCAGGTGCGCTGACTGCACCTGGGCTTGCCGGCTGCGCGGCGGGCGGAGCGAGCCGCTGCAGCCCAGAGAAGGCGGCGGGGGCCCTCGCCCTGTGAGGAGACTGCTCCTTGCCTCACCCCCGTTCTGTCCCCTGAGCCTCTCCAAGCCCAGAATTCTGATGGGTCCCCAAGCCCCCTCCCTGAGGCCCAGGACGCTGAGTGTGACTGACGCCCCGCGTGTCCGAGGGCAGACGACCTGCGTTCATCCAATCACACACGTGCTTTCAGAAGCCGGGCAGATCCAAAGCTCGGGGATTCTGTGCAGGCTCTGAGGAGGACCAGAGCGGGGCCCCCAGGAGCTGAGAACCCCCCGGGCGACATCCAACTGGTTCTCGGGGACCCGGGCCTAAGCACAACCCCAAGGAACTGGCCTTGATAATCTGGGCGGGGCTGGCCGCAGGCTTTCCCTCAGGCCTCTTGGCCTCGCAAGACCCCAGGCAGAAAACACAGGGAGCCCACCCAGACTCCCCGCCTGCAGGACTCGGAGCTGCCGGGAGCCCCTCAGGGTGCGGCCGCCTGCCACACAGCGCCAGGAGTTGACGAGTCGCCGTCTCCCTTCCCCTCCGCTCACGACGGATCTCCTTGGCCTCCGAGTCCCAACACCTTCTAAGCTTCCCAGGCCCAGAGAGACAGAAAGGGATGTGAGGTGGATGCCACCACCTCAGACACCCTGTCCTGCAAGCTCCGAGGGTCCGAGCCACAGCCACCTGCCATCGGCTCATCATTGCGGCCTTTGGAGAGCCCGTCCCTCTTTCTCTCTCCTCCGCCTGCCTCCCAGCCTTCTGGTGCCTGTGCCCTTGCACGGGTGTCTTGCTGAAGCTGGTGTTTGCTCCACCAAGTCCCCGCATCACTGCTGTTATTAATGACCCCCAGCCCCTCACCCGGCCCCGCCTGCTGGGGTGGAGGGGTGTTCCTTAGGGCCAGGCACACGACGGACCAGGGTGTCCTGGCTCAGGCCCAGGCGAGCGTTGGGAACAGGAGGAGCTTCTAATCAGTTATGCCCCTGTCCCTGTTCACTCCCCGGATGCCATCTGTCCGGTTGCAGTGAGGTCTGGACCCCGCTTCAGGGTGGTGGGCGGGCCCTGCCCAGTCCCCAGGGAGGGGCTGAGGCTGCCCGCACCCCGCGCCTGTGATTCACCTGGTGAGGAATACATTCCATTTCCCCTGAGGCTGCCAATGCCATGGTGGGGGCTGGTGTCCCAGGAAGTGTCCACATTCCCATGTTCAGCCACCACCCGGCTGAGGAGCTATAATTTTAACTGCCTGGTGAACGTCACACCTGGTGTCCCCCTGGCTCTGCAAAATCAGTGTCTCAAGGGAATGCACCCCTGCACCCCGGAGCTATCCCGCCATCTCTCGCTTTGGGCCTTTCCCCAGGAATCCCAGCTCCGGAGGGAACTTCCGCACAGCAGAAAGAGGCCAACAGCAGAGTTCGGCTGGTGGATTATAGCGCTTCAGTGCCACAGAGCCTCACAGAACTGTCCAGAGGGTCCCAGAAATGCAGACGATGTTTAGCAAGTTTCAAAAAGCAGAACAGAAGCTGTTTTGATCCTTACAAAAAAACGAGAAAAGTGGCTAAGATCATGGGCTTGTCTTTGCTTCCATGTTTTCATTATTGCTATTCATTTTTTTCCCCCTGATAATAGTTTGATTTGAAGGGGAGGCCATTGTCTTTGATTCAGAACACGTGTGGATGCA